GATGACCTCCAAAGTCCCTTTCTACTTTATTATTATTATTATTATTATTATTATTATTATTATTATTATTATTATTATTATTATTATTATTATTATTATTATTATTATTATTATTATTATTATTATTATTATTATCTGAAATCCATCTTTGGAAATATCCACAACTACACAAACCTGTTTGCCCGACTGATCCTTCTTGACAAAGCCAGTGGCTGCAGCAATATTTCCAGCACCTTCCACCGTCTTCTGGGCTACGGCTGTCACTCCGGTGACAACAGCTCCCCCTACATTTGACACTTGCTCTTTGGTTTTCTCAGCCACTGTAGGGGGGGAAAATGTTAAAGGTGAGAAGAGAAGAAAAATTCTCAAGTGTTCTTTTCAAGGTCAATCTGGCTGTCTCCGACTATTCACAGGTGGCACAAGATACAATTTTATTGTGCATGCAAAAGAAAGAAAATCACAAAAGCATCTCTCTGTTAAATCAAACTTGTCTTATATGCATATTTTGTATCTAGGGTACAATTACACATAATTTTTTTAAAATTTAATTTGAAAAATTAAAAAAATTAAAAATTATTTAAACTACAGTTGAAATTCCAAAATAATCTTCCAGCTGGAGCTTCTGGCAGGATAACACTTGCTTAAATATGCAAAGAAAGATCAACTCATCTGATTATGCATCTTTTCAATGTTTGTAGCAGCTGTATTTTTTCCAGATCATAAAAGTGTGCAGTATCCATTTAAACTCTTATCCAGTTAAATTCCCAAAGCCATTAGTAGATAATTCAAAACAGGATGAACACCTACAAAAGCCAATGAGTCTTTCTAAATAAAAACTGAGATGCTTTGAGTGGTCTCAAGGATGAAAGTAAGGGAAGGTAATTCTTGGGGGTTTCCCTTGCCCTTCCCCACTCTATATATCCCCAGAAGGATTAAAATATCCTGCCCTTTCATGTCACATTGTCATTTGATGGCATTCTAATCTCTTTAGAAATCAAACTGACTGAGTTGTAGTCTGCAATGTTTATACAGGTAGTCCTTGACTTATAACCACAATTGAGCCCAAAATTTCTCTTGCTAAATGAGACAGTTGTTAAGTGAGTTTTATCCCATTTTACTACCTTGCTTGCCATAATTAAGAAAATCACTGCAGTTAATTAGTAACACGGTTGTTAAGTGAATTTCGCTTCCCCATTAACTTTGCTTGTTAGAAGATTGCAAAAGGTGATCACATGACCCCGTCATAAATTTGAGTCAGTTGCTAAGCATCTGAATTTTGACCACATGACCATGGAGACACTGAAACCATCATAAATGTGAATAATGGTCATAAGTCACTCTTTTTAGTGCCATTGTAACTTAAAACAGTCACTAAGTGAACTGTTGTAAATTGAGGACTACTGTACATTGCTTATACCTGTTCTACCTGATGGATCTTCCTTCATCAAATAAGTTGGCAGAACAACTCCAATCCCATGATGCTCACAGCCCACCATTTCACAAAAGTTATACCCAGCTGTTTATATTGAAAAATCCATTAACCTGAACATAAAATATACCCATCTGAATTGAGTCCACTTCATATAATCAATTCAAATATACAGAGCAGGTTGACTTGATTCAAAAGTTGAACAGATTTTTTACTTGGGCATTAAAGCCTCTTCTGCACTGTGCAAATCAAAATGTATCATGCAGACCACTTTGATAAACAAGTATGATTTAACAAATGAAATCATAGATACTTCACTGAATTAGCTCCGCGTTGCAAATAATGTACACAACCCTACTTAAAGGCTCTTTCAGGAGTACAACAGATTCATGCTAAATGAATGCATCAGATGAAAATACTTTGGTTCTATTTCCATGGAAGCTAGTATCAACATTATTCACATGTTCCAATGAACCAGTACACAGTAGTGTGTAGACAATGAGCATAGCTCTGGTGTAAATGCAGAAGAGAAACAAAATATATTGGACAAAATTTGTCACTTGAAATTAGAGGAGAGACAAGCAAGATTGGGGCATTCAAATGGTTTTGTCTACAGCAACATAACTAATATTATGGATTATATTAGTTATAATCCCAAATATTTATAGGTACCTTTGATACAGACTTTGCAGAATACAATGATTTGGAGAATTAGGTAGAACACAGAACTGCCCAATGCTTTGGAACTTCCTTCTTACATCCATATTTTATCAAAAAGGAAGAAAATTTGCTCTTGTACCAGCTGTCATTTGATGTCTAAGCAAGGTCAAAATGTGTTCTGAGATCCTGACATGAATTTCAGCTGCAGCAACAAGAGCCACAAATTATTTTATAAGAAAAGAATTCCTGGAAATCTAAGTAACAGGCATATATATCAGTCATTTGCTGCTGTTGGGGGCACACAGCCAATAATTGTACCGAAATGCTAAGAAACTATTTACTATTCCAGGGCCATCCTTGACCACTGAAGATAATATCTCTACGGTCTAGAGAATAGATTTCCTGTCGTTTTGCCAGCAACTCTGGTTGGCATCTTCAGAGGCAAAGTGGTCTGCTATGCAGATCACAGGCAAATGAGCAGGGACTGACTGACTAATTTGACAGCCACAGTTCCCATGCAACACCAGGAAATCTGTTCTCTAGACCATGTTCACTAAACCTTGAAGCTCAACAGATACCAGCTGTGAAAGCCTACGCCAGCATATGTAACTGTGTATAACTAATTTTTAAACAATTGCCAGTGTATCAAAGGAGTTCTAGGTATGAAAGCTGCTTTCAATGTGAGAAAAGACTACAGATGCCATGGAGCACTCCATCCATTATATATCAGAGGTCCCCAACCCCAGACTGCGGCCCACTACTGGGCCTTGAGCCGTTTGGAACTGGGCTGGGCAAGTGTTGGGCAAGCACGTGTGCATGCATCCCCACCTGCATGTGCAGCAGGTGAGTGCATGCCCATGCACTCCATTTGCATGAACAGGAGTGCACACGCTTGCTGCTTATGCAAATGGAGTGCATACGCACACGCTTGCTCTCTGCTCATGCAGAACCACCCCCTCTCCACCCCCCTCCCAGTGCTCCACAAAGCTGCAAAGGTTGGGGAATTCTGTATTACATGTTTCTCTTGCTGTAAAAATAATCACTGAGGCCCACTGGTTATTGCCCAAAAACAGATATGCAATCTGGGCCAATACTTTGCTGGCTTTGTATTCACTACAGATGGCATGTCATGTGTCTGAACAATCAGAAACTGGATTTGTACTACAGATTAATATCTCCAAATGTCCTATCTACAAGAATATTCCTCTCCCGATAAGACCAGTGGTGGAATTCAGCCAGTTTGTACCAGTTCGGGAGAACTGGTAGCTAATTTTTTGTTGCCCAGGCCCAGAATGGACTTCCAGAAGCGGCATCTACACAGAGAACCGGTTGTTCACATTTTTGAATCCCACCACTGGATAAGACCAATAGTGTTGTTTCCCAAATGCCAGATCATATCGCAGACCCTTTCCTTCCTAAATCAAAGCCTATTTTTTTAAAAGCAGACAAAAGATTTATTGATGACTTAGAAATAGAAATGCAGATAGAAACGGACTTACCTGTTGTGACACCATGAACCACACCCTCTTTGGTCTTTGACCCTGTTTATTCAACAACAACAAAAAAAAAAAATCAGTGGAAACTGAATGGAATGAGTCTTAGGAAGTGTGAAGATACAATTAAAGAACCCCAGGCTGAGTTCACACAACTTGTTGATCCTAGGTTCAACACAAATTGCTGTGTTTTTATAAAATAGTAGCCCAAACAATAGACTGCAAATTATAACTTAACATTAGGACTTGGTTCACACAAAGAGAATAATGGAGTTCCAATCCCTCTGCCTTTTGGAATTTAACTGGACAGAGCCTTTTTGTGGTGAAAAGTATTGGATTCTTTAGAGGTCTTTTGTAGCAAATTACAATTTATTAATGCAAAAAATTTCTGATGCATGGGTAAGCCTTCCATATCCAAAAGATGCATTAAACATTTGCCTTTTGTGCATTTGAATGATATAAGTGTGCTAAGCTGGTTTATGTTGACAGTGCTCCCAGATGCCAGATTGTTGGATTTAGCTATGCCTTTTAATTGCCCCATGCTGTGAAATGAAACAACATCTATGAAAAATGCAGCTTTCACACCAGCCGTGAAGCATGAATCATACAGTTATTTGGTTGGGCATGGCTAAATCTGCTGGCTCAGTTTCTTTAAGGACTCGAATTCCATCAAAACAACCTCTAAATAAATCCAATATAAATCTATTAATCCGCTTCTACTCCTAAATTATCACATTATTAAAGTGAAGTAATCTTGGCCAGGAATAGGAAACCTACACTTTTCAGGAGCACCCCTCTCAAAACATACACACATATCCCTTAAGATTGCACCGACAGTAAAATAGCTGCATTTTTGTTGTTTTATCCTTAGAGAAGTAACCATTTGGTTACTGTCTTTCTTTTTTCAGAATTTAAAGGGTGGGGATGGAACTGGGAAATTACTGGGAGGGAAATTCATTCATAAGCCCCTCTTAAAACCATGGAGAAATTGCTCTACATGGACTCAGCCTTTGGTGTGGATGGAATGGTTTCCCCTTTCTCATCCTTTAAAAATAATAAATGAAGCCAAAAAAATGGATTCAAATATTTTGGCCATACCCTTCCTGATGACATCTTCACATTATTAGATGGCGTCTTCTGAAAGGTCAGCAGATAGTTGCTTGCCACATGACAACTCTTTTTCTCAGCAGTAAACCAGCCTAGACAATAATCTATTCTCAGTTGTGAATGAAGGCAAATATGCACGTCCCAGGATAATATTGCAGGATCCAATCTGGGTTGGTCACTGGGGCAAGAAATTTAGTCTTTCAAGGTTTTGGACTCATACTGGAACTCGTCCTCAGGGAACTTGTCTCTGGTAGAATGTGTGCTTTGAGCTATTCTATGTGTAATATTTATGTGTGGCTTTTCAGTTGTTGATTGGGGTGTTGATGGCCAGCTATTAAGTTATTGGCTGTTGTTTCATTGTGCTGTCAAGCACTCGGTTCCTAAGTACTTGGTAAGCTGGTGGTAAATCAGCACTCCTGTTGACTGACAAGGGGCCTGTTTTCCAGGCTTCAATCATTTCCCTGGCTCTTTTTGTCCCTGCTCAGCCAACAATCTTAATAGCTGCAAAATTGAATGTATGTCTTTGTTCATTGCAATGTGAGGCTACCAATGAGTTTGGATCCCCTCATCTGACTGCTTGCTTGTGTTCTTGTAATCTATTCTCATTTGGGTGAGGAGGATATGACCTATTAGGGCAAATTTGAGTAGGGGTAAGTATTAATACACATGTGATAACAAAGTCAGGGTTCATCAGTGTTCATCTAGTTTAGCTCTACAAGTTAGATCTGTGCCTGCTAATCTGGATAGCAACCATGAATCTACTCCCCGCAGATGCAATGTATCTCTTCTGAATTTCTTTAAGACTTCTTCAAGGTCTCTCCCTGAAGAGATGCAAGCAATCCACCAATACAACAGATATTTAATTTCTAAGTGGAATAAATATTATTACATCCAAAGTACATGTACTTAGTAGATGCTTTAGTTATTTTCAGTTCTAAAAGTTTATTATTCAAACAGAGCAAGAAATGTAATAATGCCTTTGGTTTAAAGGAGGAACATATTACTACAGGTCATCTTGATTGCTCATTTTGTTCAGAATAGCAGCACATAAGAGAGATTCAGATTGCTGTCATGGTTAAAATGTTGGATTGAGACCAAGGAGATCCAGGCTTCACTCTATCTTCAAAACAACTTTTCTCCCCAAATGGTTTTTGAAAAGGTAAATTGAGGAAAGGAATGTAAGAATCTCATCCTGGACAAAAATTGGATGAAAATCTAAAGAATTCTACATACATATACAAATTGAGAGCCCAGAACTTCACATGTTCTTAATGAACCTTGAATCTGTATGAATCTCCAAAGTCTCTCTATAGTTGCAAGAAATCTTAATTTGACTGGGACACACAGGAAAGTGTGTGTTCCACTAAAAATGGAATTTAGATCTGTAAGGGTCACCTGTTCTTAATTTAATTGGGACACATAGGAAAGTGTGTGTTCCACTAAAAATAGAATTTAGATCTGTAAGGATCACCTGTTTGAGCCGGGGGTGGACTAGAAGACCACCAGGTTCCCTTCCAATTCTATTGTTCTATGATTCTAGATTTCATTCAGTTTCATTCATATTTTCTTTCTGTCTTGGCTCTACTCAATGCTTGGCATGGGTTCCTGACGTGCCAATCATGTGTGGTCCTTGGCTCAAAAAAAAAAAATTTAAAAATAAATTAAAATAAAATCACACACTTCAGATTTAGTGTCTCACCACTTACCCACATAGAGGACCCCTTCTTTTGTTTTTCCTGCTGCTTCTGTCATGCCTTGCTTGGTTTTCTCTGCTGCTGCTACCATTCCTTCCTTAGCTTTATTAAATCCTTTCATGAATACATCCATGGCCAAAATATGTCTGTGTCCAGAACTGAAAAACAGATAGCTTTTTATTTAATTCGTTAAGTCATTTAAGAAAGAATAACATCATGTTGTTTAGGAGGGAATAGCACAGTGGTGGCGAACCTATGGCACGGGTGCCACAGGTGGCACGCAGAGCCCTCTCTGTGGGCACGTGCGCTGTCACCCCAGTCTTGGCCTTCAGCTGGGTTTTATAAAACCTTTTCGCTTTAGGCCTCTGCCGCCGTGTGCAAAAAAAAAAAAGGTTCAATCACTCAATCAATTTCAACTTCTCGCAGGAAAAGAAAAGATTTTGCAAAGTTGGGATTGATTGAACCTTTTAGTCCCACCCAATCTGCTGTTACCACCACAGCCACGCCCATCCAATGGGCCATACCCACCCAATGGGCCACACCCTCCCAATGGGCCACGCCAACCTGGCACCCAACAATACATAAGTGGGTTTTGGGTTGCAGTTTGGGCACTCGGTCTCTAAAAGGTTCGCCATCACTGAAATAGCATATCCTTCTATACATACATGATCACCTTGGTCTAAAACTATGCAGATGGCTAAATATGGAGATAACCAAAGCATCAGGGAGGGAAAATGGGACAGGATCATGCTCATTAGAACCACTGTCTTTCATGTATATAGCCACAAAAACTTGTGATTATTTCCTGCAGATGAATGAGTGGCTTCCATCAACCAGGTATCTGTTGCATGTTATCCTGGCACACTGTAGTTGAGTGTAATATCTCTTTAGAGAGGACTTTCAGCTGCCCCCATTTCTCAAAGAGGTCCACTTACAGCTCTGTAGTTCCTTCAGGGTAAAAAGCAAGACCTTTTCATTCTTATGGACTTGTAAATCTTTGCATTTTGGTGTTATTGCACCATGCTTCTTAAGTGGTTTGATTTTTGTAAACATTGCTTTAATGCATTTTTTTAATCACCACCCTTGTTTCACAGTGGTGTAATTTTGGGGAGTTTATGCAAAGATCTTTGAATAGTTCATTTCCTACTTCATTCTAGCTTTAAGTTTTTAATTGTAAATATGTTGCCCAATTTTTTAAATGGTAAACCCACACCATCTCTTCACCTCATTTGACCCCTAGTAACTATAGCATCCAATGATGGTTGTACAAAAAAGCCAACTTTCACAAATTTTTTGATATTCCTGGAATTAAACCACCAAGGGAGTCAAAGAACCAATGCAATATCATTACACTCACATATTACATACTACACTATGCCATTATTTCTGTAATCCTGGTGTGCCAATAAGCACAAATGGCTGACTTCATGCAACATGCTAAACATAAAACCCTAGTCCAAAAATTGGGCTCATACAATCTGCTTAAGTTATAATCATGATTTATAAACCATAATACCAGTTACTGGAGTCATGCAACATGCTAACTCAAAACTCAACACACTACATTATGGCTTAATGTGCAATGTGAACCCAGCACAAATGTTTCCTATATTGTAAATGGTTTTGTGATACACTTGTCAGATAACATCTCATTAATACATTGGAAATGATTGATCACTTTCATATCTTGGGGTACATTCCAGACAGTACATTGACAACCCAATCCAAGCTAAGTTTAGCAACAGATTAAGTCTACTAATTTAAATTATATTTTAATAAGTGAATGAGGCCACCAGCATGTAGCTTATGTCATGCTCTGTAACTCACAAATAAATCTCAGAACAAACGTTACTCAAAAACTGAGACATATGGAATAACAGTTGGAGGTTGCTCATTCCAAAATGGCTACAATATTAATCTTTATAACTACAACAATTCAGTTTTATTCAGGATTCTCTCACCCACACCCCAATATCTTTTTAAGTGGTTGGAGCATTGTAGCTCATTTGTCTTTCAAACAGATTTTAAAATAAATCAGGGCTCCCAATTTTGCCAAGATGGCAAGAATAGAAATGTAAAGCCATAATCTGATATCACAGCAAGTTCTTCTGAACCACAAGCTTGTAATTCTTTTAAAATAGGAGTGTGAACTCCAAGTGGAATGAGGTGATGATGAGGTGGAGCTTCAGTCTGTCTCAAAGGGAGGATTCTAACATTAGCTGAGATCATGTTCGAGCCCCACAATGTGGTTTGTTTTTAAACAATTCCTTATTTTGCAAAATATCCGAGAAAGAACCAAAGATCCTTTTGTATCCTGAAAAAGTAGAAAGACCTCTTGGCTTGCTCAGTCACTTTGATTCATTTTTCACTCAGCAGTGCAATTGAGAAGACAAAATGCAATAATCATCTGAACTAACAGAGACAGTCATAGTTTGGCTTCTCCCTTAAATTACTAGAGAAATTATTAATCTTGGCATCAGCATACCTTCGTGGAACCCAAGCTAGATTATCAACTCTGAAAGAAGTATTTGCCAAATAAATCAATGCTGAGAGAGGAAGAAAGTAGTAGATGGACATGTAATGTATATAAATGAAATGAGGTTAAGATATTTTTTTCCCTTCGAACACCAAATCATTCAGGCAAATCTTCAGATTTGCTTGGTTATCTTGATTCACCAAAGGTTCTCCAGTTTCCTGAAATGGAGAATTGGCTTTTCCTCTTTGAAAAGGGGACAATATAAATCACAGGCACTTGCTAATTTCTATTTTTTTCTCTTTCTCACCCACACAAGTCTCTTACACAAGGGAAGCAGTAAGATATGATCATTATTTAACTATTTGGGAGATGTTTTGCCTCTAAGATGTTCTAGCAGAATGGGTGCAACTGAATTTCCAATAGGTTAGACCACTCTTTAGAGTCAAGGTCTTTTTTATTGGCAGCTGAAGAGCGTTAAAGGAGATGAAATCCCGTTTTTTTATATATTCCTGCATTCCAGACCACCATGAGAAGGACACGGCATATTTCCACCATCTGTTGAAAAGCTGCTGTGCACAAACCCCAATTATAAACCAGCCCAGCTCTTCTGACATCCTTTAAATGCTCTGCAAAACAATTCCCATCACCCCAACCACCTGGGTTGGCAAGGATAGCAGAAACTCTGGTTCAGGGCATCTGGAGACCACCATGGTATACAGAAGGCATGTATGCATGTTAACATGGCTTATTTTTCTCAGGAGTTCCAAGGAAACTAAAACCAGAAGGAAGTTTTGCTTATCCAGACATGATGTTTCAGCTAGATACCTCAATTCTTCTCTACCCCTAAAGATGCAGCATGAAACTGGTTCAGCATCAACAAGGAGATATTCCCCACTTGCACCGCTCTCTGGCCATCCTTGAGGTGTTAACTGAGACATCTATTTATTAACCGTCTCATTTTTCTTTTCCCCATAGCCAGGTCTGCTGATTATTAATTCGCTTCGGTGCCAAAAGCTTAATTGAGAATCTTCGATACTTCCTCCAAAGTCTTGCCCGTGTCGAAGGAATTACTCCGAAAGCGGGCACGCACCGAATGGGCACAGTTTTCCTTGCACGCTTACATAATCGCCAGAGCTCAACAACACAGCGAGGCTCCGAGTGAACGAATGTTACACCCTGTTGCAGCTCCCTTCTCGGTCTTCGCGAGAAAAAAAAGCTGCCCCGCTTTAGCCTCACTTCCTCCCCCCCGGGTAGGCATGTGCAACGAGCAGCCTCCTGCGACCCCTTAGCAGCCTCCTGCGACCCTTAGCAGCCTCCTGCGACCCTCCTCCCGAGAGATTCCTGTTAAGTTACTTACCCCCCCCTCTGGTTTATTTGCTTCGCGCCTCCTCGCCTTGCTCGTGGGAATCGACAGTTAGCCTTCCGCCCTGTTTTAATTTAGAGCGAAAAAGGAGGCTTGGAATAAAAGAGGGGGGGGGGAGAGAGAGAGAGAGAAGAAAAGCGCCCCAAGAGTTGCCAAAGAGGCGCCCCGCGCTCCCCTTCCGCGCTCAGTAGTACATCCCCGCCGAGGTCCGCCTTGAGGATCAGCCGGTGGTACCCAGGCTCCCGGGTCCGCCCAGGCGAGGCAAGGACGTCGCGGGGAAGGCAGGAAGGAAAGAAGGAAGGAAGGAAGGAAGGCAGGAAGGCTCCCCTCGCGGACCGGAGAGAAAACTGCGCCCCGCTTCGCGGCTCCAACGTCGCGGGGGCGGGGGAAGAACAAGCGCGCCTCTTCTCCTTGGCTCTTTGTGCCGGTTCGTCAGGTAAGCCAGGCGGCGCCCATCAGCTCCCTCGCCCTCCCCCCATCCCGGTCTTCCCATCTTCCCGCGACTCCGCCTGGTGGGAAGCAGCACCCCCCCCCCCACGTCCAAAAGACAGCCGGGCTCCAGTTTCGCAGTCCCTGCCCATCCCTCGGGATACCCGGGGACGGGGGGGGGGGGGGGAAAGGAAAGCGCTACTGGATTTGATCCCGTGCAACAAGAAGAGGGGGTGGGGGGTGGTGGGGAAGGGGAGAGAAGTATTTTGGTGGGTACTGTTGCTTTTAGGGTTAATACTCCTCCTCCTTGGTGGCTAACCGCGCCCTTTTTATTCCTCCCTTCGTTTATATTCCACCTGTTGTGCAGTGTTTCTCAACCTTGACCATTTTAAGGCGTGTGGACTTCAACTCCCAGAATTCCACAGCCAGCGTTGCTGGCTGTGGAATTCTGGGAGTTGAAGTCCACACGCCTTAAAATGGTCAAGGTTGGAATTCTGGGAGTTGAAGTCCACATGCCTTAAAATGGTCAAGGTTGGAATTCTGGGAGTTGAAGTCCACATGCCTTAAAATTGTCAAGGTTGGAATTCTGGGAGTTGACGTCCACATGCCTTAAAATTGTCAAGGTTGAGAAACACTGTGTTAAAGCAACAGGCTTGATGATCGAAGGAGCCATTCTGGAAGGACGCAAATGTCCTTTTCTTGACTCGGGGCTGGGGCGGGGGGAAAGAAAAAAAAAGATGAGGTAAAACCAAAAGGATGGGAAATTGCAAGGAAGACATCTCGTGGAGGATCCTACTTTTTTTTGCCTAGTAAGGCAAAGCCATAGTTAGTGAAATTAGGACTGATTTCATGAATCTGGATGTCTTGCGTTCGAACAGTGACA